GCTGAGAGTGGGCAGCTGGAATTACGTTCACGCGCCGGAAAATGGTGGGGGGGGGGGTTACGTTGAGAAGCACAGAGGGGGGACGATTGTGCACCGCTGCCGAGAGCCGAGCGCGCGAACACAAAGCGGGAGCTCACGGACGGAGTGGTGTTAAATTAAAGGAAAATTTAGTCCGTCGTTTTTGGCCGGAATTGGTGTTGTCGTTGGAGAAACAACTGTGCACTAGTTGTATGGCTGTGCATGTACTCCGTTTTACCTTAAGCATCCCGAGATGATGATAACAAAACAGTAACTGTGCATTTGCCAGGTCGAGTATGAACGCGAGATGAAATCCTTGGCGCAACAAACACCTGTTGAGATTTACACGTCTATCGAGCAATTGTTTTCACAGCTTTTTACACCTTGAATACTAGGAATTCGCTTTTTTGCCTCTGTGTAGAAAAAAAACCGTTTTTATTTAAACTGTTTAATGGTTATTATTTAGGATGGAATCATGGCGCAGCGGGTTAGCGCGTTGTAGCTTATGAACCCGATTAGCCTAAATTAAATGTCACGGCTAACATCAGTGGCAATTAATATCTGAACTGCTCCGAGGCCTCCTCCCCTCCCCCCAACTTCGCCAACCCGCACGAACTAGCGTGGTGACCCAACTGGTGTGGAGAGGAGGCCTTCATCAAGCAGTTGATACACCAAAGGCTCTGCATTTTTATTGTTGTTTTAAAACTATCATGCCTTGGTGTGCGTGTAAAAACAAACATGAGTCAGGAAGCAGTCAAACATGAAGTCAGGAAGCAGTCAAAATCATTATGAGCATTTTAATTATCCTCGTGATTGTTTGCAGTACAGTCATTCCTGTCTCTCTCCCTCTCCCTGTGGACATCTACCCCTCACTCCCTTCTCTCTTGGAAATCAATTCGGAAAGAAAACAAACTCCTCTTCTGCAATTAATTTTGATGTAACTTTTTTTACACGTGGCTCCGCACCAGGGAAAGGGAAGTTGAGTCTGTTGCGTTGAAGAGCAGCAGGGGGTGGAGGTGGTGCAAGATGAGTGGAGAAGGGTAGGGAGGCCGGTATGGGAGTCCCCAAGACGGACAGAGCAGAGAGCATGGCTCACGGTGAGCAGCAGCAGCAGCAGGAGTAGTAGGAGAGGGAATGACTGTCGGATGAGAGCGAGTGATGATGATGATTATGACGGAGAGGGGAAGGAAGGGAGGGAGAGAGAATGAGCGAGCAGCGTCTGTTTTCTCGGGGGGAGGGGAGAGGTGCAGAGTGGGGGTGGCCACATACAAGTCACGTGATTTACAGAAGGAGGATTGATCCGATTTTAGAGCGGTGTATAGATGTGCATAACCCCCGCAGAATCCATCATTCCCCCCCACCACCTCGTCCACACGCGGCTCAATGACCTATCATGATTCCGGATCATGATATGGTTCAAGAGGCAATTCTTTATCAACTTTGTGGTAAATGAAAAACCATTAAATATTGCACCAACTTCTGGAACATGAATCAAACTGAATAATCTATTTAAATGATACATATTCACACCTCTTCTTAGCGTTAATCATTGCATTGTGAGTATCCCTTATCTCTAGTTGATGAACCCAAGTTTTATATTACATTTCATAGAATGAATGTTTGAACATAAAATGCTTAAGATATTTTAATATATTTTTAGTTTTCTCGTATTATCTTTATAAACCACTGGAGTATCCCCGACTGTCGCGTGTGGTATCAGCAGAGCTCCGTGGTCTTAAAGAATGTGTCTCGTTGTGGTGGCCGCCTTGCTGTAGCAACATGGGTCTGGTTCACGTTTAGTATCTGCTCAATCACCGCAACAAATAGTGGAACACATCGTGGCCTCATGTCCACTATAAGTCTAGGACGGACAGGTGTCTGTGCGAGTCTAGGGGTCTCTGTGCGAGTATAGGGGTCTTCGTGTGATTCTGTCTCTGTGCGTGGAGTCTAGGGGTCTTTGTGACTATAGGGGTCTGTGTAAACTTGTGCCCACTATCTCTCATGGCCACGAGTGGGATTCACAATTGCTGTCCATTTTTCGTTCTGATTGGTCTCGTTTTTGTACGGTTTAGTTCGCTCCGTTAGCCTCATTGTAATGAGCTTTTCGTTTCCACCAATCCCAAGTAATCGATTCTTGCATGCACGATCGAGGGTGTAAAAATCGATTTTGATCGATGCATTGGCCATTGCATGCCTAATTTTCATTTTCAACCTCTGGCAATTGCTCACTTGTGTCAGCTCGTCTTTATCCATGCAGCTAATATATCTACGTGTTTGTGAGCCCAGATAACTTCTCTGAGACTAATGAATTAATTTCAACGAATAAGGAGTCCTTTGGATAAAGAAATAACCTCGATATCACAAGCTCCCAATATGCTTTGCAACCAGGCATAATACTAGAAGTAAGGTATTCCTGTTGAATATCAATAGTCTTGGCACTATGATGTAATATGCCACAGTGCATTGCCAGTGTGTAGGCTGGGTTAGAGTCTCTTTCATACCACTTGCAAGCTGTCGCCATTGCATTCTTGTTTTGCAGCCTAGATTTTTTTTATGCAATTGATGTTTCCCAAGTCTCCTTTCGCAGAAATGTCCAGTGTACGTCAACGAGCTTTCACTTGATTAGGTGAAGGATGCTGAATGCAATTGAAAGGCATTTCTACTCCTGAACAGTTGGCTTTTCCATCAAATTCTATTAAAGGGGTTGAGAAGAATCGATCTTACAGAAACCTGATTGCATCGGTGGTCGCACGGCACGGGGAGCCTGCCTGCCTTCCAGTAGCTTGTGCGTTGGCGTGTTTGAACAGCGTGGACCTCGGATGGACTGGTGACTTGGCACGAGTACCCCCCCCCCCCGTATGTGCGCCACAAGCAGTCAATCGCTCTTATCGAGATTTCAAAATGCCAGCGGTTGGTGGTTGTTCTGGAGGCGAGAGCAAAACTGTGAGGTGTATTGCAATCCGCATGGTTGCAGATGCAATGAACTTCCTTGTGTGGCCTAAAACGACTCATTCAGAAGTACTCTTTGGTAATTCTGCGTGAAATGGCAGGGCCCCGACCATTTAATCGGCAATTATTCCTGGAAAAAGGCTCCCCCCTCCTGTTGCCGAGCCTTTGTAAACACACGCTGTCGCCTGTTTTTGCGGAGGTGTTCCAAGCAATGCGCGTGTGCCTTCAATCGCGCCGCTTTTTTGCCATCGTAAGGAACTCGCGATGCAGGGGGTGTTTCCTTGTGCGATTAACCGACTTAATAAATGGTCAGTAAAGTTTTCAGAATGAAATTCCCAAAAAAATAGTGTTCGGCTCGTGTTCGCTCGATATTCATGCGCTAATGATATAAAATTAATATTGACATTTGGAGGAAACTATCGAAAAATAAAGTAATAATAACAGTGCATCTGGGCACGCTTTCAATATCCTATTTTCTAAACCTTTGACCGGTCCCCACATCCCCATCGAACCAGACTGAAAATATCAATTCTTTGCACTTTTGCTGAACACTTTTTTGATTGTTTAGCTTTCAGACACACATGGATTTCACATTTAAAAGTATCAATTACAACGCCATTGATTTCTTGTGCTTGTACGCGCATGGTAGCGGCATCTCCTAAAAGGCTGCAATTTCTCAGGCATCGGAGGCAAATGGGCTTCGGGGATTACGCTGCAGGCGAGCGTTTAAGAATGTTCTTGATGATTATCTATGGCAAGTTGGTTTTGTATTTGCATCCATTATTTACTTTGGTTTGTGGGGAAGCTAATTGAAACGATTCACCAATAAAGCCCAGGTGCTCTTGAACGTGTTATGATTTTACCGTGAAATGTTGCAATTGTCGATCAGCGCCGTTGAGATTTGGACTGCTCGCACAAATACTTGAGAATAAAATTACAGGGCAGTTTAAAAGTTCTCTGAGAGCATTACACCCCTGCATTTTTTTCCGCGCACGAGTTTTGCAACGCTGATGTCCCGGCGGTAAACTCTTACAGCCTCATTGGTTTTTCCATCTCTTCTAATGTACTTCCTCTAAGCAAGCCAGTTTCGGATAATCAATATCCTGGTTTTCCTCGCTAGATGATTGCTTAGTGTGCTTTGTTTGGCCTTGCCAGTATCCTGTGCCTCCATTATTGGTTATTTGAAAAATGTTGTGCGAGTCCTGAATCCATTACAAAATAGTAATTTTTACCCCCCCCCCCTACCCAACCCCATGTTTTTGTACAAAGGATGACCTGCTACCAACTTCCCTCTAGCTATCACACGTGTGTCTACACTGGCATTAGTCATGAGCACGTTTGTTCCGGTCTGATGGGAGTTGTCAGCACTAGCCATACTGTTTGTTGCCCGCATTGTCATGAAGAGGCCGTCTCTCAGTGCGCCTTGTCTGGACCCCCCTGCCATCCGAGCTGTCCACTCCCTGCCCCCTGTTCAAGTCCAGGCTCGAGCGCCTTCCTATTTCTCTGCAGCCATTTGATGGATTGCGTCGATCCGCAAAATAAAGATCCCCACTTTGTGTACGGCATTTTCAGGTGTGGTTGCATTTGAGAAATCGCTATATAAATCGCGTTGTATTGCATTGGGGAAAGTCACCAACGATTCGTGTCCATTAGAAATTAGCCCTGTGCAACGTCGGTGGCTTAGGACTTTCACTGATATAATGAATCCCCCTGGAGTGACATCGCAGGACTCCGGGGATGGAATTAGGAAGTCCTCGTCCAGCAGTGGATCGACATTTTATCCTCCAATATTGTCGCTTGTGAGGCATGGCGAGAGATGTCAGGAGAACAATCTTTGTCACTGGCCGTGGTCATTTAAGCCAGCTTTGGGTTCCTAAAACCTTCTGTTCAGAAAAAAGTTTTTTTAAGTTTTTAAATAGTTTTCACTTTGTGTTCAAATCAAATTAGTATTTGTCCTGAACGAAGTTGTAGACTCTGAGCACAGCTTTTATTTTGTCATCCTGAATCCTGCCCGACCTGTTCTCTCCCCTCAGAGTGAACGGCCCTGAAGACAAACCCGCCGAAGATGAGAGACGTCGCCCGCTCGTTGTGAAGACACCCGGCGGCGGCGGCAGCGGCGGCGGCGTCGAGCGCCGTCATGTCGCGCCAGTGACGGCAGGACGCGTCCCCTCGCTCCCTCCCGCTCGCTCCCGAGAGGAGAGAAAAAATCTAAATAAAACCCCAGCCCGTGTCGGCAGCGGCGCCTCCCAGCCGCCGGGAGGGGATCGATCCGAGGCGCGATGTTTCCCTGGCGCAAGTTGTCTTCTCACAAACTGGGCTTCTTCCTGGTCACCTTCGGCTTCATCTGGGGGATGATGCTGCTGCACTTCACGATCCAGCAGCACTCGGCGCACCGGCCCACCAGCGCTGAGCTCCAGGAGCAGATCCTGCAGCTCAGCAAGCAGTACGTGAAGAGGCTTGCCGAGGAGACGCGCAGCACGGTGGACGGGCCCTACGCCGGCACGGCCACAGGATACGGTGAGTGCCGAGTCTGCGGGACCGAATGATTGCACGTGTGCGAGCGCGCGTTTGAGGGCGTTTCCGTCCGTTCGCTATATCAGGGGGTTAGCCGCGGTGCACAGAGGGTAAGCGTGTGCTGTGAGCCTGGCAACCTGGGATCGTCGGTGGAAAGAATCGGAACCACCAGTCGTGGGCCTCCTCTAGGTCGTGGTGTTGTGTGTACACATCACCACAGGGCAGAGTTAGGTGGCTGGATTTGGTGATGGCCACAACGCTCCCTCTAGCGCTGTTCAGGTCTTAATAAGTGTTCGCTAACGGAGCTTGCTACAATGGTCCATGAAGACTATTAGCGGGGCTGTGTCTGTGTGTGAGATTATACCAATATGTTAGTGGCTACGGTTTTCAAAATAACATTTGAATTGTGTGTAATTTGTTGATAATTATCGGCAATGTTATTACATTTGCAGCTAACGATTTTTGCTGACCCGGCCTAGAGTAATGAAAGAAAATGGTATCTGTGCAATAAAGTGAATCACCAATTCCCTGCATTCTTCCATAACAAGCCGAGGCATTGATTCACTATTGAAATTGTTGATGCTAGATCACTCGTGTCGAATCGATTGATTTGCATTTCCTTTGTTGTTGTTTTTTTCCGTGCTCTTTTCCTGCCCAATTAACTGCGAGCGTCAGCAGTGGGCGATCGACTGAAACGGCTGAAAATAGTCACGCGTTGGAATGTTAATGCTGGAGTCGTGACCTTATTAAACGCGAGATGAAGTTCTCCTTTGTTTCCCTTTGTGCCAAAGACTTGAACGTTTTTATTTCCCGTTTTATGCTCGCGTCTTAACGCGCACTTTGCGTACCGTGCGGCGTTTACGGCCCGATGCAAACAGAGTAACGTGTCGTCTGATACGAGTTAGAAAAGTCGCAGACCGAAAGCCCCGTTTTGTCCTCTCGCCGAACGCTTTGAAGTTATTTCCAAACGTCTTGGAATGCCCATTGAACTCTTCCATACAAGGCCATCCGACTGTTGAGAGTGAGAGAAACTGGGCCTGCCCTAGGCAAAGCGATAGCGCTGTCGCTTCGCGTTGAAGGAGATCTGTAAACGTGACGACGATGACGCCGACAGCGATCGTGGGCAGAGCGCCCACCGCGAGCTCGCCTCCGCTCGCGATGACCTCTATAATTGCGAGCTGTAAAACCTTTAGTTTATTTTAATACACAAGCCCCTGCAGGGTGCTCGGTTTAACTTGAGCCATTTTTGTCAACCGCGCTCGCAAAAAATATATATGATTGCACTCTTTTTTACCCTTTTATCTGGCAACAAAACTGACACCTTTTTTACAAGGAGTCATGTTTGCATTGACCACAATACCTGTGGTCGAAATGCAAACAAAAACATAACTCTGATAAAAGGGTAAAAAAACAATTATCATATTTTGCTACTGGCAAAGGAGGTTCCAAAGGTGTAAATGCTTACCGCGAGCTCTCATACTCTGATGGTGCATTGTCTTTGAGTTGTGCGCCTTTTGGCGTCATCTGGTCCAACACCATGTGAGACGAGGCTCTAAGAAAAGCTGTCTCGGGTGTGGACCAATCAGTTTCAAGGACAGTGCATATATTATCAGAGTTATGTTTTTGTTTGCATTCCGACCACAGGTATCATGGTCAATGCAAACATGACTCCTTTTAAAAAAAGGTGTCAGTTTTGTTGCCAGATAAAAGGGTATAAAACCAATTATCATATTTTGCTACTGGCAAAGGAGGTTCCAATGATGATTGCACTCGTTGTCATGTTTATGAAGTGTGCCATTTTGTAAATAGGCGTGTCCTTTATCAGTCGTTGCTTTCTCTACCCACACCCGCACGCTCTGCCCATCTTCTGGAGCAGCGTGATCGCAGGCTAATTGCTCCCTCTGGGCAATAAGAAGCAGCCAGCTCCCCGTGTCTTCATTCTCTTGTTTCCCTCTCTTTCTCTTGCAGTCAATACCCCTTCCATGAGATGAAATGTCAACCGCTAATCCGCACCGAATTAAACTTATTTTCACCTCTGCAAGCATTTAATTACACGGTGCAGTTTAAGATTTAGATGGGGACGGAAATATAAATGTTTGTAAAGAAATCACGCTCGGATTGGTTATACAATTTGGTGCGGAAGAAATCTAGAGCGATTGCGTTTTCACTGGAGTTCAGCCGGTGAAGTTTACCCCTCTGGCTGGTGCACGTTCAAGATTTTGTTTGGGTGCTGTTAAGGAACAGGATGACCCCTTTACAAGTGTTGTGCGCAAATTGCTGCCTCTCGCTCCCTCTGAATCGCTCGCATTCACGTCGCTGCCGTGCCGCCTGCATTCCCCCCTTGCCCGGAAGCCGTCGACTCTTCACTGCCACCCACAAGGGGAAGCAAATTCTACCATGTCGCTTCGATGTGCGTCTACTCCAATTTGTACAGCGTTTAGAGATGGAGGTCGCATTTGTGCGATTCAACAACTCGAAGGGGACGGTATTATATGATTAAGTATGACATTATTACAAGTGTGAATTTTACATGTATGAATAGTGTATCGGTTGGACCGTTGATTCAGTGGTTGGCATAATATACTGTGCTTTGAAACCGGCAACCTGAATGCGATTCCTCGCCACGGCCAATGTCCATGGCGAGAAATATCCGAATTCCGTCTTAAGCACCCATCGTTTCCCCCCCGCCCTCTCGCCCCCTTCCCTATTCCATACTGAGCAGCGTGGTGAAGCATGGTCAAACAATCCCCATGACGGCTTGGCAACGAGAGGCCTTCATTCAACAGTCGATTGACAAAGTCGCTGCGAGTTGTGATTGTGAATAATTGTATGCGTGTGTGTGCGCGCGCCCGCTGTGCAAATTTTTTGTGCCGCGTTGTCTTGAGACGGCAGTGACTATATTTAACGACACAATTTGCCAACGATCATCAGCAGGTGACAACCATAAAATCACTTTTCTGACACCTCCCTGCTCGGGGAAAATCTTGTTGGTAAAATAATTGCCGTCCGGGGCCTGTTGACGTGACGCTGCGAAAGGGAAGAGAACCGAGGGAGCGAGCGCTGGGAAACACTGCTGCCCCTGCGCTGGCCTCTCGCTTGCTCCGCGAGATGCGCCGCCAGGTTATTCATTGTTCTTCGTTATTCTCTACCCTATGCCCTGTTTTGGCTTTGCTTGTGGAGTATAACAGCCTTTGGTGGTGCACGCAATAACACCGGGTCCATGAAAAGGAAAAATAAATATAATAGGCGGCATTGCGGGCAATGGCCCTTGTTCATTATAGATGAAAGCGAGTTGTTGTGTTCATTGTGCTTGTGCACAACTGCCAATGCAGCATCACCATAGGATTTGTTTCAATAGAAGTGTGGTTTCTGGCCATGACAAATATTATTTGTGAATGATATCTGGGTCGGTTCTGGACCTCCCACCAACCTGCACCCGGCCCTTTCTGACCGGCGTGGTAAATTATGAACGAGAGACATATGGCACGAGGAGTCCCATCATCCAGCAGTGGGTTGACAGAGCTGTAAAATTGAAGTATGGCAGCTGTAAAGATGACTGTCACCTCTCCCGCCCTTCCCCAAAGTTTATTATAAACACCTGAGGTTGATCAAATTCGTACCGTGAAGATTTCTGTGCTGGTCCAAATGAAGAACTGGGATCACCGCCATGGGAATGTGGAATTTCCACCGCTGTCTCAGGGTAACGAGTGCTAATGAGCAACACGCAGCCTTCATTTAAGTATAGACACACATCAGACCACTGTAGCGTCAAGTGTCTTGGAAGAGAGGCCTACATGTTGCGTAATAATTTACAGTCCTTGGTGAATTCAACTCCAGATGAAGTCCTTCCCATACTGCATTGGTCATGGGGTTGCCTTGACCATATTTCACCATTTGGCCAGTGGAGGTTTGTGAATTGGGGGGGACCCAAGTCCCAGTTTGTCCGGTCTCTGGTCTCCTAACGCAAGGATGCTAAACACCACGCCGCCGCTAGCCCCGGCTGCATGTGTTTATTATTTTTTTGTTTCAAATACAGGAATAGAACTGCAACGTTGTACATCCACGCACGTAAATAGATTTCACGCATCGGGCTATAAATTGTGCTGTGCCAACCGGAGCTGCAATTCAATCGGAGTTCTTGCTCCCACTCGAGTAAAACCACGGTAAGGGAGCACTCCGCCAGGTGCGGTGTCGGCGATTATTCTACGCCGGCCTAGTGTGTAAAAACGCCGGCCTGCGCGTGAAACAATGCCGGCCTGCACGTGAAACAACGCCGGCCGTGCCTTGAGCTCTATTTGTGCCTTTTCATTCGTCTTCTCTCTGCAGGTTTTGCACCTTGTTTGTTTTTTTAAATGATTACGCAAACATGCAAGGCATGTGTAGTGTCACAGTAAACATGCAAAGTTGGCTCAACGTTGGATTGTTACTGGGATAGTACTTAATGGCTTTTCTTCTTCAACAGTAATGGGCCAATAGATCCGATTCAATTTATAAATAATTTAGTGTCAACAACGTAGCTTGAGTTTATCAGATTAGACTGCTTGGATTACACGTTTCTCGGAAGAGAGGTCTAAATAATTTGCAGTTCTTTGTCGGTCCAGTGCTGGATAAATGTCTCCCCAAGCTGTGCTGGCCATGTGGGTTGTTTGACCATACTTCACCTTGCTGGTCAGTGCGGATTGTTGAAGGCGACACCCAACCCTGGTTCGGCTATCCGTGGCTGATGATATCCAACTCATATCCCTGGGTTCATAGTGCAATGCGCTAACCACTTCTCCACCGTTTCCTCCCAATACATTAAACCATATTGTATATGTATTTATTATATTTATAAACTAGTTTCAAATGCGCAATGCAGCTAGGTTTGAAATGGCGCATATTTACCATTTCAACAGCGCACAAAGCAGCATTGTCAGAAATGTTTATTCTTCATAGCAGGGATGATGAAACGAGAGCGTGCGAGATGTATCCTGAGCAGGCAAAATAACTGGTTGTTTGTTAGA